TGGTCGATATATTAAAAAAATAAAAATTTTGGATTCCCGCTTTGTTTACCCGGCTGGGATATGAAAACCGAAAATATAAGTTTGTATGGCCTATTTTCGAAATCATCAAATAATTTTACGTCGACTTCAACTTGAAGTTTATAATAAATATATATCATTATTACTTCTTGGAGATACGCGATGGGGATCTACATTTTATGCTGCAAATAATCTTCTAAAAACGAAAATAGCTATTCAAAAGATTACATTGGAAGATAATATTAAAATATCTGATGAAATTAAGGATAAAATTTTATCAGATAATTTTTGGATTAATCTTAAAATTCTTCATAATTTTCTTTCACCTTTTACGACATTTTTAAGAAAATTACAAACTGATCAACCAACACTTTCAACGGCTTATTCCGAATTATGTAAATTAAAAATTTCTATCTCTGAAAATACTGAAATTTCAGATGATTTTAAAATCAATTCAATTAATAAGGGAACAGAACGATGGAAAAATTTCCTTTATAATCCAGTAATTATATTAGCGTATAAGCTTGATCCTCGATATCAAGGTAGAAGCTTAAATTCAAAAAAATGGGATTCGATTATTGAAGATGAATTACTACGACTAGTATCAAGCCAATATCAAGAAAATATATTAATCGAATATGCCGAATATGTTTCTAAAAAGGGTCATTTTGCACGACAATGTTTGTGGAATTCTAATCTTGTACAAAATCCAATAAATTGGTGGGGCTTATTTAAGGGCAGATACCCTGCATTAAGTGAGGTTGCACTACGTATATTATCAATACCAGCCACCTCTGCGGCATGTGAAAGAAATTGGTCTACTTTTGGTTTAATACATAATAAGTTGCGTAACAGACTTACAGATTCGAAAGTAGAAAAATGTGTTTATGTTCAATGGAATTTACGAATTTTGAGAGATTTGGGCCGAGTAGATGATTTAAATAAGGTTACAGATTTTGTTGAAGATTTAGTGGTAAATAATGAAGAAGAAAATTCCGAAGATATATTTGATGATTTATTTTCAGAGAATGAATTAATTACATATGACGAAAATGGGTGTATAGAGATTTGTAGTGATTCTCAAGATTTAAATGAATAAAATTTTCTATACTTACTTTATAGTTTATCGCATATTAGAAGTTCATATTCTTTAATTCACAAATCAAAAGTTAAATTTAATAATAGTAATTTCGAATTCAGAAAATATGGTAAGTTACCGGTAAGTTACCAGTAACTTACTATTTTGGTAACTTACGTAAATTACCGTAATTTTACAACCCTGACGTTACCCAACCTAAAAAATTTCACTGGCCAATCAGATTTCAAGATCAGGTGTGATCAGTGTTGTTACTAGCCTTAAGGCTAATATTTTTTACTTAGCCTTAGCCCTTGTCTAATTAGCCTTCTAAT